TATCAGCCTGTGGCACTGCTGAGGTGTTATGGAAGACCAGGATGCTTCAATAGCGGCCTTCAGCTCTTCTGCATTGTTCGCTCTCATGTCTCTCATCTTTCTCTTGGCAATGCCCCATAGATTCTCTATGGGGTTCAGGTCAGGCGAATTTGCTGGCCAATCAAGCACAGTCATCCCACGGTCATTGAACCAGGTTTTGGTGCTTTTGGCAGTGTGGGCGGAGCCAAGTCATGCTGGAAAATGAAGTCAGCATCCCCATAAAGCTCGTCTGCGGAAGGAAGCATGAAGTGCTCCAAAATCTCCTGGTAGACGGCTGCGGTGACCCTGGACTTAATGAAGCACAGAGGACCAACACCAGCAGATGACATGGCTCCCCAAATCAACACAGACTGTGGAAGCTTCACACTGGACTTCAAGCATCTTGCAGTGTGTGCCTCTCCATTCTTCCTCCATACTCGGGGTCCTTGGGCCTCTCCATTCTTCCTCCATACTCGGGGTCCTTGGGCCTCTCCATTCTTCCTCCATACTCGGGGTCCTTGGGCCTCTCCATTCTTCCTCCATACTCGGGGTCCTTGGGCCTCTCCATTCTTCCTCCATACTCGGGGTCCTTGGGCCTCTCCATTCTTCCTCCATACTCGGGGTCCTTGGGCCTCTCCATTCTTCCTCCATACTCGGGGTCCTTGGGCCTCTCCATTCTGCCTCCATACTCGGGGTCCTTGGGTCTCTCCATTCTTCCTCCATACTCGGGGTCCTTGGGCCTCTCCATTCTTCCTCCATACTCGGGGTCCTTGGGCCTCTCCATTCTTCCTCCATACTCGGGGTCCTTGGTTTCCAAATGAGATGCAAAAGTTGCTTTCATCAGAAAAAGAGGACTTTGGACCACTGAGCAGCAGACCAGGTCTGGTTTTCTTTAGCCCAGGTAAGACGCTTCTGACGTTGTTTGTTGTTCAGGAGCGGCTTGACAAGAGGAATACGACATTTGAAGCCCATGTCCAGGATCCGTCTGGGCCTCCTATGGCGCCACTTATTCGGCCTCACACCCATATGCAGCATCACAGAGGTGGGCCTCCTATAATAACACCCCCTATCTAGCCTCACACCTATATGCAGTGTCACAGAAGTTGGTCTCCTTTCATGGTGCCACCTATCTGTCCTCACATTTATATGTAGCACCACAGAGGTGGGCCTCCTTCCATAGCACCACCTATCCGGCCTCACATTTATATGCAGCACCACAGAGGTGGGCCTCCTTGCATGGCACCACCTATCCGGCCTCACTTCTATATGCAGCGTCACAGATGTGGGCCTCCTTCCATGGCACCACCTATCCGGCCTCACACCTATATGCATCATCACAGAGGTGGGCCTCCTTCCATGGCACCACCTATCTGGCCTTACGCTTATACGCAGTGTCCCAGAGGTGGGCCTCCTTCCATGGCGCCACCGAGCAGGCCTCACACCTATATGCAGTGTCACAGAGGTGGGCCTCCTTCCATGGCACCACCTAGCAGGCCTCACACCTATATGCATTGTCACAGAGGTGGGCCTCCTTCCATGGCGCCACCTATCCGGCCTCACACCTATATGCATCGTCACAGAAGTGGGCCTCCTTCCATGGTGCCACCTAGCAGGCCTCACACCTATATGTATGGTCACAGAGGTGGGCCTCCTTCCATGGCGCCACCTATCCAGCCTCACACCTATATGCATTGTCACAGAGGTGGGCCTCCTCCTATGGTACCACCTATCCGGCCTCACACCTATATACATCATCACAGAGGTGGGCCTCCTTCCATGGCGCCACCTATCAAGAAAGCCAGTCACCACGAAGGCCCATAGAGGACAATGGTTTTCTATGAGCCCTGTTCACACTGCATTGCAGCCCGGAAGTGCGGTCACATTTCCTGGGCTGGTAAGTGTTGTTGGAAAGGGTCTGAATACTTATGTCATGGGGATATTTCAGTTTTTTTTTCCTTTTTCATACAATTTGCAGTTATTTCTTAAATTCTGTTCTCACTTTGTCATTATGGGCTACCGAGTGTAGATTAATGACAAAAAAAATGATGCGCGATTCAAAAAAAAAAAAAACCACACCGCAGGTGCTTTTTACATGAGTTTTCCATTGATTTCAATGGGGAGTTGCGTTTTTGGTCCCTTTGTTTTACCGCACCAAAAATGCAGCGTTTCTATTACTTGGTGGTCGGCTATCAGGAGATGGTTAGGTGGACCAAAGTGGACTTATATGAACACTGGGAGAACGATCGTTCCTTTTGCCTTTAGTTATCGCGGAAGATCCGACACGGGGAGGAGGCCACGCCTCTTTAAGCATGATAGTCATTATTGGCATTTATTAATTAGGCTTTAACACCCCAAAACCTCGGCGGGGAGACCCCCTCACTGCAGGGTGAACAAAGCATAACATTAGACCGGGAGAGGAGAGGACGATCGGGAGAATTCAATTTGCATCGCTTCCCAGAACGGCGATCCAGTCCAACAGGACTAACAAGCGGCCTCTCCTATCGGCTGCAGAGCAATGTAAACAGGAGATGCTGACGGAGACGGATCTGGGACCTGGCACAAGGATCAGGATTTCTACAATCAGACACACGGCCGCAACACAAATGACAGGTGAAAACTGCTACACCATGGAGAAAGGAAAAAAAGGGGGGAAAAAAGGAAAAAATAAAAAAAAAGGAAAGGAAAAAAAAAAAAAAAGGAAAAGAAAAAAAAAAAAAAAGAAAAAAAAAGAAAAGGAAAGAGAAAAAGGAAAAAAAAAAAAAGAAAAGGAAAGAGAAAAAGGAAAAAAAAAAAAGAAAAGGAAAGAGAAAAAGGAAAAAAAAAAAAAAAGAAAAGGAAAGAGAAAAAGGAAAAAAAAAAAAGAAAAGGAAAGAGAAAAAGGAAAAAAAAAAAAAGAAAAGGAAAGAGAAAAAGGAAAAAAAAAAAGAAAAGGAAAGAGAAAAAGGAAAAAAAAAAAGAAAAGGAAAGAGAAAGAGGAAAAAGGAAAAAAAAAAAGAAAAGGAAAGAGAAAAAGGAAAAAAAAAAAGAGAAGGAAAGAGAAAAAGGAAAAAAAAAAGAGAAGGAAAGAGAAAAAGGAAAAAAAAAAAAAAAAAAAAAAAAAGAAGGAAAGGAAAGAAAAAGGAAGAAAAAAAAAAAGAAAAGGAAAGAAAAAAAGGAAGGAACACAAAAAAAAAAAGGAAAGGAAAGAAAAAAAAAGGAAGAAAAAAAAGGGAGGATGAAAACAGAAGGAAAGAGTTACAATGTAAAGTATATAACAAATGTTACAATGTCACAAGGCAAAGTTGTATATTGAGAATTTTTTTTTTTTTTTTATCTTTAAATAAAGTTTTAAAAAAAGAAAACCTTACAGGAGCTTCCCAACTTATTATCTATGACAGTTTTTTTTATGCCCAGAAAACCATTCTCTTATATTGGAAGCAGCCAGAGGTCTATTCGGCCCTTTGATGATGATACGTGGGGGCACATCGGGGTTCTATTCGGCCTCTGATAAGTGGGGGCACATCAGGGGTCTATTCGGCCTCTGATAAGTGGGGGCACATCAGGGGTCTATTCGGCTTCTGATAAGTGGGGGCACATCAGGGGGTCTATTCGAGCCCCTGATACGTGGGGCACATCAGGGGGTCTATTCGAGCCCCTGATACGTGGGGGCACATCAGGGGGTCTATTCGGTCCCTGAAACGTGGGGGCACATCAGGGGGTCTATTCGGTCCCTGATACGTGGGGGCACATCAGGGGTCTATTCAAGCCCTGATACGTGGGGGCACATCAGGGGGTCTATTCAAGCCCTGATACGTGGGGGCACATCAGGGGTCTATTCAAGCCCTGATACGTGGGGGCACATCAGGGGTCTATTCAAGCCCTGATACGTGGGGGCACATCAGGGGTCTATTCACGCCCCGATACGTGGGGGTACATCAGGGGTCTATTCGGCCTCTGATAAGTGGGGGCACATCAGGGGTCTATTCGGCCTCTGATAAGTGGGGGCACATCAGGGGTCTATTCGGCTTCTGATAAGTGGGGGCACATCAGGGGGTCTATTCGAGCCCCTGATACGTGGGGGCACATCAGGGGGTCTATTCGAGCCCCTGATACGTGGGGGCACATCAGGGGGTCTATTCGGTCCCTGAAACGTGGGGGCACATCAGGGGGTCTATTCGGTCCCTGATACGTGGGGGCACATCAGGGGTCTATTCAAGCCCTGATACGTGGGGGCACATCAGGGGTCTATTCAAGCCCTGATACGTGGGGGCACATCAGGGGGTCTATTCAAGCCCTGATACGTGGGGGCACATCAGGGGTCTATTCAAGCCCTGATACGTGGGGGCACATCAGGGGTCTATTCAAGCCCTGATACGTGGGGGCACATCAGGGGTCTATTCACGCCCCGATACGTGGGGGTACATCAGGGGTCTATTCGGCCTCTGATACGTGGGGGCATATAAGGGGTCTATTTGATGCCTGATATAAGATCAGGGGTCTATTGCAGCCAAGGAATCCAGTGTCCTCACCAACAGTACAAATGGCAACCCCCCAAACCTATGACTGGCCCTTGCACCAAGGAGCACATGGAAGGGCGACACGTGTGAAGAAAAAAAAAAAAAACCAACATAATTCCCAGCTGAAATGTCCAATAGACCCCTGATATCTCATTAAAGAGAACCTGTCTACACAACAGCATTGGCTGTGATGTCAGAGGCAGCGAAGGGTTAACAGATGTCGCTGAATCCCTGAAACCTCTGAATATCGAAACAGAAGCGTTCCTGCACCAACGGGCATTCTAAAAATCGTTTTCCCATCTTTTTAAATCTGCAACTTTCATGAAAATAATCTCCAGTGATCCTGCCATGAAGGATCGTTGTCTGGGCACTTCCTGTTTCAGGGTGACAACGCTCTGTCCCTATCTCCCATTTGTTGTCACCCTGTCACACACAGCGCAGTGTGCAGTGACATCAGAGGAAGCAGCTTCAGTCCAGGGGGAGGAACCGGTACACCTGTGCAAGACTGAAGGGGAGGAGCCGGGACACTTGCGCAAGACTGGAGGGGAGGAGCCGGGACACCTGCGCAAGACTGGAGGGGAGGAGCCGGGACACCTGCGCAAGACTGGAGGGGAGGAGCCGGCACACCTGCGCAAGACTGAAGGGGAGGAGCCGGCACACCTGCGCAAGACTGAAGGGGAGGAGCCGGTACACCTGCGCAAGACTGAAGGGGAGGAGCCGGTACACCTGGGCAAGACTGAAGCGGAGGAGCCGGTACACCTGGGCAAGACTGAAGGGGAGGAGCCGGTACACCTGGGCAAGACTGAAGGGGAGGAGCCGGTACACCTGGGCAAGACTGAAGGGGAGGAGCCGGTACACCTGGGCAAGACTGAAGGGGAGGAGCCGGTACACCTGGGCAAGACTGAAGGGGAGGAGCCGGTACACCTGGGCAAGACTGAAGGGGAGGAGCCATTACACCTGGGCAAGACTGAAGGGGAGGAGCCGGTACACCTGGGCAAGACTGAAGGGGAGGAGCCGGTACACCTGGGCAAGACTGAAGGGGAGGAGCCGGTACACCTGTGCAAGACTGAAGGGGAGGAGCCGGTACATATTTCCTGTCCTGGTGACACCCAGGTCAATGGTCAGGGCTAAACTTCCTGTTTCCCATTTCTAGAAGCGTCCTCCATGTAGAATCCAGTGGCAGTTATGACGTGTGAACATATTAACAACTGATAAACGGCAGATTTGTGGCAGATCTTCCCACGCACCTCAGCCGGGCAAAACTTCCCGTCAATCATAAATGACAGCGGAAGATCGCGATTATCATTTATTTATATCTCTCCATTATATACTGCGGCACTCTACAGAGGGTATACAGCAAACAGAGCTCCGCGTCACCGACACAGGAACATCCCGGGCGTCGCCGTCCTATACATTGTTACATGGTCCCAGCTTGGACCGTACCTGCCCTGTGTCCCTGGAAATTACTGAAGTAGATACATCTACTACACTGCTACTACACTACACTACACAGCTACTATACCGCTACTACACTACACCGCTACTACACTACACTACACAGCTACTACACCACACCGCTACTACACCACACAGCTACTACACTACACCGCTACTACACCACACTACACCGCTACTACACCACACCGCTACTACACTACACTACACAGCTACTACACCACACCGCTACTACACCACACAGCTACTACACTACACCGCTACTACACCACACTACACAGCTACTACACCACACCGCTACTACACTACACAGCTACTATACCGCTACTACACTACACCGCTACTACACCACACAGCTACTACACTACACCGCTACTACACTACACCACACCGCTACTACACTACACCGCTACTACACTACACCGCTACTACACTACACCGCTACTACACTACACCGCTACTACACCGCTACTACACCACACTACACCGCTACTACACTACACCGCTACTACACCACACCGCTACTACACCACACCGCTACTACACCACACCGCTATTACACTACACAGCTACTACACTACACCGCTACTACACTAGCTTCTGGGTCCCATCCTGAATGGCTGTCCCGCTGCACCGTGAATGCAGGAGGTCGGCTGCTGACCACGAGCGCCACTCAGAGAACGTTTTGAATGAGAAGCTAGAGGAGATCACTGTACTAGCGGTGTAGCAGTGTAGTAGTACTGTAGTAGAGGTGTATTATTAGTGTATTATTGGTGTAGTAGAGGTGTAGTAGAGGTGTATTATTAGTGTAGTAGAGGTGTATTATTAGTGTATTATTAGTGTAGTAGAGGTGTATTATTAGTGTAGTAGAGGTGTATTATTAGTGTATTATTAGTGTAGTAGAGGTGTATTATTAGTGTAGTAGAGGTGTATTATTAGTGTAGTAGAGGTGTATTATTAGTGTAGTAGAGGTGTATTATTGGTGTAGTAGAGGTGTATTATTAGTGTAGTAGAGGTGTATTATTAGTGTAGTAGAGGTGTATTATTAGTGTAGTAGAGGTGTAGTAGAGGTGTATTATTAGTGTAGTAGAGGTGTATTATTAGTGTAGTAGAGGTGTATTATTAGTGTAGTAGAGGTGTAGTAGAGGTGTATTATTAGTGTAGTAGAGGTGTATTATTAGTGTAGTAGAGGTGTAGTAGAGGTGTATTATTAGTGTAGTAGAGGTGTAGTAGAGGTGTATTATTAGTGTAGTAGAGGTGTATTATTAGTGTAGTAGAGGTGTAGTAGAGGTGTATTATTAGTGTAGTAGAGGTGTAGTAGAGGTGTATTATTAGTGTAGTAGAGGTGTAGTAGAGGTGTATTATTAGTGTAGTAGAGGTGTAGTAGAGGTGTATTATTAGTGTAGTAGAGGTGTAGTAGAGGTGTATTATTAGTGTAGTAGAGGTGTATTATTAGTGTAGTAGAGGTGTAGTAGAGGTGTATTATTAGTGTAGTAGAGGTGTAGTAGAGGTGTATTATTAGTGTAGTAGAGGTGTAGTAGAGGTGTATTATTAGTGTAGTAGAGGTGTAGTAGAGGTGTATTATTAGTGTAGTAGAGGTGTATTATTAGTGTAGTAGAGGTGTAGTAGAGGTGTATTATTAGTGTAGTAGAGGTGTGAATGGTCCAGCATTCGTCTGGGCCCTGTCACGTGTCCCAGAAGATGGGGAGGAGGTACCTGGCAAAGTCGGGTACCCCCCCCCCCCATCGACTTCAGGGCCAACACGCCTCTACCCAAGCTGTGTACTTTTATAGATCTCATTCTCTGTCCGATGTTTTGTGTTATTTTCCATCACAGCATTTATTGTATTTATTGTATTTATTTCAATTCTTGATATTCACTGAAAAGTCGATTCTAAGACAAAATATATAAAAATATTTATAGAGAGACAAAAAATGAATTTATTTTTTTCTAAACGTTCATTTCAGATTCGGTTTTCAGAGAAGTGCCCCCCGAATCGTTATCAGGGCGCGGCACTACCAACTATATATTAATGGCGCCCCAAACGCATCCGCTTACCGCCAGCAAACCGCACCCCCCGCAATAACATGCACTTTGGCGCGATCTGCAAACATAGCGCTGTCACCTGTACAATACGCTCTGCAGCCCATTCAAAACACGAACGAAAAGGGACCATATATGTTCCAGTGTGACCCCCCCCCTCCCAAAAAAAAGGTGAACTTGCGCTTTAAGCCACACCCACACATCTGCATTCTAGTCCAAAGCGCTAAAACCATCCAAACTTTCACCACCATTTCGCTTTTGCGGTTTCCGGGCAGCACGCACCTTCCCACAACACGAGCATGAAACCTCTCAACCCCCACCGCACTGTACGGCATGCAGAAACGCAGAGGCGCGCCACTCGTGGCTTTGCGGGGCCGATTCGTGTCAGATATGACGTGCGTCAGGATAATTCATTTTTTCCCGCCGCAGAGCTGTAAACCAACGCCGCCGAATCTGATCGGTTTTGCGTCTTTATTTATGCATTATTTTTTTTTTCGCCTGAGCTGGAAAATGGAACAAAACGCATTTTACAGCTCAAGTGAACAAAAAAAAAAATAAAAAAAACTAAAGACGCAAAACGGAACGGTTTCAGCGACGTTGGTTTACGGTTCTGCGGCGGGAAAAATGACGCACGGCCTGAATTTTTCCCCGTTGGGGAGTCAAATGAATTGAAAAAATACAGGAGTGAGCGTCTGCGCAACGCGCGCGTTTTCATCTACAGCGCCATGGGGACAGGGGCTCTTTAAATGTGTCACTGAGAGCAGTGCAGGTCCCCCCAGTGACACCATAGAGAGCTCCTGACACCTGCAGCAGGTTACAGGGGCTGGAAGTGACCTTTAACCCCCTGTACCCCCCCCCCAACCTGCCCCCACTTATCCCCTCCCCCATCCCCTGCACTCACCTTTCCCCAGCTGCAGCTGATAAACTCACTTCCTGCTTTCCCTGTACACGTGTCTGAGATACAGCCGGCGCCCCGCCCCCCCTGCACACCACTGGCTGCCTGACCACGGTCTCCGCCCCCTACGCCCTTCTACTGGGGGCTCCGCACGTCACTCACGGCTCCCGTTCATTCTTCAGGTTCACGTCTGTATTTGCCGCACTGAACTGAAGCGGGAGGGCGGGAAACAAAAACTACAGCAGAGCAGAGGAGGGGGGAGAAGGGTGGGAGATGTTATGAAAATATAAATAACTGCCAGGAGTTCCTCTGATCTGTTGATTTCATCACTTGTGTAAAATATTTTTTATAGTGTATGAGTTTTTAAATACAGGTTGTGTTTATTTTATTACAAAAAAAAAAATTGTTTGTTTTCACACAATAGAGTACAACTGAAAGGTGAACTTACCCACATGGAAAAAAAAATATATATTGAAATACATTTTAAAAATATTCTTCCCAAATATATTGACATTGAAATACTACAATTTTGGCCATATATTTCAATATATTTCTATATATATATATATATATATGTGTGTGTATATACTGTATGTTGAAATGCGTTTTTATCACAAAATATATGAAACATATTTTTGAAAATATATTTTCAAACATACTGTATGTCTTTAAAAAAATCAAAATTTTTGGAATGCACTTACAAATATATGTAAAAAAAAATCTGAAGAATATATTTAAAAAATATATATTTTTAAAAAATATTCTTCATATATTCATTAAGAAGACACTTCAGTATCACGGAATATAAAAATATCTGCATGCAGCTCCGGCGTGATTGCAATATAACGCTGTGGAAATAATGAAAAAGAATTTTCCTTCAAATTTTTGTACCATTAGTGGAACCGCAGAAACGGCCAATTTTCGAGCGACCATCGAATTTGAGCGATTGGGCATGTCGGAAATGTTTTGAAAAACAAAGGAATTTCTAATTAACCTCTTGCCGTCCGCCTGCTGTTTATAAACGGCAGGACGGTGGCAGTCCAGGGGCGGGTTGCCGTTCATAAACGGCACCCGCCTTTTCTAGCTGTGCGCGCTCCCCGGAATTGCGCAGCACCGCGATCCGGTGCCCGCTGTGTCCTCCGGTCACAGTAAAAAACCGATCGTCGGACGGGACCTCTGTGTGAGCTCCCGATCATGTAATTGGCCAATCAGTGATCACATGCAAAGTAGTAAGCAAGATGTCACTTGTGACATCATTGCTTACTACGTGTGAAATCTGTGAATGATCACAGAGGTCACATGGTACAGGGCTATTCACAACAGCCTTGTACCATGTGACAAGCTGTGACCAATCACAGCTCACTCAGTAATTCTCAATGACTGCAAGAATGCAGCCAGAGAGGAGAAATGATTGCTTTTACATCCTATATGGGTATAACAGCAATCAGTGTAAAAAAAAAAAATCTTCATCACCCCCTACAAGTAGTACACTGTACTGCTAGGGTGACAGTATGTAAAAAAAAATAAAAAAATAATAATATAAAAAAAATAAAATAAAAATTTAAAAAAAAATGTTTAAAAATTATAATTTTTGGTTATAAAACTAATCTGGATTTTTCTTTTTTACTAAAAAAATAACGGAATAAATTTTGGCCAAGATTTATGATGAAATATTATTTATTTGCAAAATTTTATTTAAAAAAACACTTTTTTTCAAATTTTTTTGACTTTTTCATTTACATAGCAAAAAAAATAAAAATCCCAGCGGTGAATAATTACCACCAAAATAAAGCTTTATCTGTTCTCAAAAAAAATGGTAAAAAATTCATATGGGTGCAGTGTTGCATGACCGCGCAATTGTCATTCAAAGTGTGATAGCGCTGAAAGCTGAAAATTGGCCTGGGCTGGAAGGGGGGGGAAAGTGTCCGGACTGGAAGGGGGGGAAAGTGTCCGGACTGGAAGGGGGGGGAAAGTGTCCGGGCTGGAAGGGGGGGGAAAGTGTCCGGACTGGAAGGGGGGGGAAAGTGTCCGGACAGGAAAGGGGTGTTGAAAGTTTTCGGACTGGAAGGGGGGGAAAGTGTCCGGACTGGAAAGGGGGAAAGTGTCCGGACTGGAAGGGGGGAAAGTGTCCGGACTGGAAGGGGGGGGAAAGTGTCCGGACTGGAAGGGGGGGGAGAAGGAAAGTGTCCGGACTGGAAGGGGGGGGAAAGTGTCCGGACTGGAAGGGGGGGAAAGTGTCCGGACTGGAAGGGGGGAAAGCGTCCGGACTGGAAGGGGGGGGAAAGTGTCCGGATTGGAAGGGGGGAAAGTGTCCGGACTGGAAGGGGGGGTGAAAGTGTCCGGACTGGAAGGGGGGGGGAAAGTGTCCGGACTGGAAGGGGGGGAAAGTTTCCGGACAGGAAGTGGTTAATGATGGGAGAATCGTGCGGGAAATGTTGTCGAATAAGAAATGCACGTGAGCTTTGACCTGGAAAGAAAGGAAAATTCTTGGCCATGAAAATTATTTTCTGTAGCCACATGGGGGGGGGGGGGGGTAATGAAAGGTTTGTTTGGTCGAATTTAAAAGTCAATGGTGGCGCCATCGGGTTACAAAATGCATGAAATTTCCAATTTTCCAAAAAAAATTTTGTTTGGAATTCGACCCGCGTATGGCCTGCATTGCGCTCCCTGCACGCTGTATGCCCTCTCCCGGCTGTGTGCACGAAGCCTGAACACGTCTAACGCATGCATGTACACACAAGTGATCTGGAAAGCGGCTCAATCTGCCCCCGGACACGCAGATATCCATTTTCTGCAAACATATGTAACCCGAATTCACAGATGTCACTGCCGGTGTGAATGAGACCTTAGTCGTCCCCCCCCCGGTATAGACCCCCCCCCCGCCCAATACACACACACGTCCGCTTCATCCCTCACAGCAATTAAATGGCGATCAGCGGTTCGTGCGGCGCGGCCGCTCCTTGTTATCAGGCGAGAACCCTTTCCAAATTGCCTGCTTATCTGTACGAGGAGGGACGTGATGCCGCCACTTTAACGCGCAACGTGTTGTTAATTGCCGGGACTTTATCTTCTTACACCACATTTCCTGCAGGTCTCAGCCTGAATTTTCTGCGTCTTCTCGTCGTGCCGGAGCGTAACCCGCCGCGCGGCAAATCCCATTAGCTGGAGATGAGTTCAGGTCTTTGTGAAAACTTTTGCAGCTTCATTTGCAGCCACAAGACTGCCGACGCTTCGAAATGTAGGATGCTGTCAAATGTGACGCCGCGCGGCGCGGCAAGGCGGACCGAGATAATGCCAAATGTACTTTCACTACTGAGAGGATACCGCCGTGGTGGAGAGCGCGGCACATGAAAGTCACACGCTTCCTTTTATTTACAGCGGAGCTTCAAGATTTACCCACCAAATAAAACGGTTACATAGTTATACAGTGTGTGTATGCGTGCGTGTGCGTGCGTGTGCATGTGTGTATATGTGTGTATATGTGTGTGTGTGTACATGTCTGTGTGAGTGTGTGTGTGCATATGTGTGTGTCTGAGTGTGTGTGTGCATGTATGTATGTGTGTGCATATGTGTTATGTGTGTATGTGTGAGTGTGTATGTGTTTATATGTGTGTGTGTGAGTGTTTGTGTGTGTTGTTATGTGTGTGTGTATGTATATATATGTGTGTATGTGTGCGTTGTATATGTGTGTGCATGTGTGTTATGTATGTATGTGTGTGAGTGTTTGTGTGTGTATGTACATGTGTGTGTGTGTGTATATGTGTGTATGTGTGTATAACCTTATCTCCCATAACTGAGGTCCTCCATCCTTTTTAACTGAGGTCCTCCATCTCCTGTAGCTGAGGTCCTCCATCTCCTGTAACTGAGGTCCTCCATCTCTCATAACTGAGCTCCTCCATCCCCCATAGCTGAGGTCCTCCATCTCCCATAACGGAGGTCCTCCATCCCTTGTAACTGATGTCCTCCATCTGCCGTAGCTGAGGTACTCCATCCCCCATAACTGAGGTCCTCCATCTCTCATAACTGAGGTCCTCCATCTTCCATAACTGAGCTCCTCCATCCCCCCATAACTGAGGTCCTCCATCGCCCATAACTGACGTCCTCCATCCCCCATAACTGAGGTCCTCCATTCCCCATAACTGAAGCCCTCCATCCCCCATAACTGAGCTCCTCCATCCCCATAACTGAGCTCCTCCATCCCCCATAATCAAGCTCCTCCAATCCCCCATAACTGAGGTCCTCCATCCCCCACAACTGAGCTTCTCCATCCCCCATAATCAAGCTCCTCCATCCCCCACAACTGAACTCCTCCATCCCCCATAATCGAGCCCCTCCAGTCTCCTTATTAACTTTGTTGTTCCTCTCTGAACTCTCGCCAGTTCCAGCACATCCTTCCTGAGGACTGATGACCAAAACTGGACAGTCCCCCCAGGAGTTATTCTTCCATTGGCCAGTCCCCCAGGAGCTATTCTTCCACTGGCCAGTCTCCCCAGGAGCTATTCTTCCACTGGCCAGTCCCCTCAGGAGCTATGCTTACACTGGCCAGTCCCCCCAGGAGCTATTCTTCCACTGGCCAGTCCCCCCAGGAGCTATTCTTCCACTGGCCAGTCCCCCCAGGAGTTATTCTTCCACTGGCCAGTCCCCCCCAGGAGTTATTCTTCCACTGGCCAGTCCCCCGAGAACTATTCTTCCACTGGCCAGTCCCCTCAAGAGCTATTCTTCCACTAGCCAGTCCCCACAGGAGCTATTCTTCCACTGGCCAGTCCCCCCAGGAGCTATTCTTCCACTGGCCAGTCCCCCAAGGAGCTATTCTTCCACTGACCAGTCCCCCCAGGAGCTATTCTTCCACTGACCAGTCCCCTCAGGAGGTATTCTTCCACTGGCTAGTCTCCTCAGGAGCTATTCTTCCACTGGCCAGTCCCCTCAGGAGCTATTCTTCCACTGGCCAGTCCCCTCAGGAGGTATTCTTCCACTGGCCAGTCCCCTCAGGAGCTATTCTTCCACTGGCCAGTCCCCCCAGGAGCTCTTCTTCCACTGGCCAGTCCCTCCAGGAGCTATTCTTCTACTGGCAAGTCCCCTCAGGAGCTGTTCTTCCACTGGCCAGTCCGCTCAGGAGCTGTTCTTCCACTGGCCAATCCCCCCAGGAGTTATTTTTCCACTGGCCAGTCCCCTCAGGAGCTATTCTTCCACTGGCAAGTCCCCTCAGGAGCTATTCTTCCACTGGCAAGTCCCCTCAGGAGCTATTCTTCCACTGGCCAATACCCCCAGGAGCTATTCTTCTACTGGCAAGTCCCCTCAGGAGCTATTCTTCCATTGGCCAGTCCCCTCAGGAACTATTCTTCCACTGGCCAATACCCCCAGGAGCTATTCTTCCACTGGCCAGTCCCCCCAAGGAGCTATTGTTCCACTGGTCAGTGGCATAGGCAGGGCCTCTTGCTTGAAGATAGGACACTTAAGGCCAGTAGTGTTCATCTTTATTGAGGTTGTTATTACATCAATGGTCATACATCCGGTTGCTGTTGAATTACATTTTTGCCTAAACCACCCTTTTGCCTTTCAGTGCTTTTGCCCATTGAAAGTTTCCCGGTGTGTTGGTGGTCACTTGAGTTCAGGTACCTGGTGGGTCATCAGTGGTGCAGGACCCAAAACAATCCAATGCGACCCACACTTCCTTTCGTCACTTAGCCCAGATGAGATGACCTCTGGCCTCCAATGTAGACCTCCAGGAGATGCTTAGAACACCATCCTCATTGGGTCCTCAGCGACCACCACCATACTTCCACCCCCACCACAACCTCGTACAAAAAGCTGGAGCAGAACTGCTCCTAGCATTGACACAGTTACCATTCCTCATTGTCTTCTCCAAGCCTCTCAGGCTGTCCCTGCTCCATGTCCCAGTTTCACCGGAACCTTGAGACGCTGTCGCTGCACATCCTCATACCAGGGTTGTCGGGGCCGCGCTGCATTAATTAGCGCTCCTAAATATCCTTCTTAGGGAAGAAAAAGACCGAGGGGACAGGGAGAGATTAATTGGGGCCTTCAGGGCTGCTCAGACTGAGAGGGTCAGGATTGGGTTAGTTTAAAATCCCCCCCCCCCGTGAGACAGAACAGCAAAAGTAAGGAAATCATAAGACTGGAAAAAAGAACAATAGATGAAGCAGAAAAACATTTGAGGGGATGAAACAGAATGGGCTCT